GTTCTCACTCACCAAAAGATTCAGAAAGTTCTGAACATTGACATCTTCTGTTCAGATTAGTCCCAATATCCCTGAGCTAGGCAGCTAAGCCCTCTGTGCAATATGGTAAGCATTTTGGACCAGAACCTAGAGCTCTACTGTAGATGTCAGCCAGAAGAAAACAAAAAAGTCTTAAATCTCACCTCAAGGTGTTTCTGAGAACACACAGACCTTTTACTAATTTAGTGATTTCTGTGTTTCCTTGTGGATAGTCAAGGGTGGGAATGAACCAGAAGAAAACTGGCCGCAACTGATGACCCTTGCTAGCTGGGGAGGGGATATAGAAGATTTCTGCTCCAACTTCCTAACTCAAAAATTTTCAGTGTTGCATCTCCATTGCTTGGAGAAGGAAGCAAGCCCATGTCTCCCTTTAACCAAGAAAATGCAAGTCTTACTGGGCAAGAGAATCCCATTGAAGCTTGTTTCTTTCTGGTTCAGTAACTGTTGAATTACTCCTTGAGCCAAGGAGATAGTGCTGGTGCTGCAAAGCTGTACACAGATCTAGTACTGTTGGAGCTGGAGTCCAAGGAGGAGACCATCAAGACCCTGCAGACATTGCTGACATTTCCCCAGCTCACATGAGTGCTTCTGAGAACTCAGCACAAGGCCCTGAAAATTGCCTCAGAGATCATTAGGGAGCCAGCAAAGTGCCTGGTACATGGATTGATGTTTTCTGAGAACTGCTGCAAAGGAAGCAGGTGGTTGCATCTGCCAGCTGCAGTTTTTCCAGATTCTGCTTTGAAGCGAGGATGAATGTTGTTCCAATAATCGAGTATGCAGGCTGCAGAGATGTATGACTGGGATGTGTCCTAACTGGAAATGATGGGCTGCACTGCTTGTGCAGATAGTAGGTCCAATGTCAGCTGGGTTCATCTCTTGCAGGCTCCTCTGAAGTGCAATGCAGTTAATATCGCAAATAAACTGGGATTCTGGTCGCACAGCAAGAGGAATGTGTCCAACTGGCAGAGAGAATAAATACTTCTCCAAACAGGCAGTAATCAGTTAACATTACTCTAAAACAAACATTGAGAAAGCACAGCACTTAAGCAATTAAAGGTCCAAATTTGCAAAATTAATTAGTGTTTCCCACAGCATAGCACTCTACTTATGAACAGCTCTATTGTAAATGTATGATGCTCTAATATGAAAAGAGAGCATTCTTATGTTAATTATCTAATTAACTAATCTGGGCACAATTAGCAGCTGAAACAGCACAGCATTACACTCTCTTCCTTCTTCTCTTCCGGATTCAAGATTGCCTTTAAATACGTACTTTGGAGTGGCAGGGGACCCTGGTGACAGGGCTTGCTACCATGTTGAGCAGACCTCGGTGCCAGCAGAAGTTCCAGTGAGCAGGCACTGAAACAGGACAGGCAGTAATATCTCTGGCACATAATTTAGGAGGGGTAAAGTCATCTATTTAATCTCACCCCTATAGCTAGCCAGCCCTCCAGGGACGCCATCCTTGTCCCTTCACAGAAAGTCAGCATGAAATGCTCAAGAATACATTTGTCTGTTTCTCTGTCTGTTTGGAAACCCCACACCACTTCACCAGACCCCCCTGAGAGCAGTATTTTCCAAAGGATGGATCAGTGGCTATTTCAGAGCTCTGAAAATAGAGAGTCTCTTTCATTTCTACTTTGCTGCCAGAGTAGCTATTGACTTCACTAAAGTTTACTGTGGCATGAAGACAATTAGTGAACTGCGTGTAGATCTCTGGCAAAAACTTACCAGGGAGAAGAACATTTGCTGAAAGAGTCTAAATCAGCGTCAGAGGATGGCTTAGACAATGTCTCAAAGTCCTAAATCAGATTACATCACAATGATCAGGGGCAGAAATGAAAGAATACTCATTTTAGTATTTTCAAATGTCTACATTTCTACACCTGCATCACATGGCCTTTTTATGCAAGAATTTGTGTTCGTGTTCAGTAATTAAAAAGGGCGGAAAAGGAAACATAAGCTGAGACTAACAAGTTCTATACAGAGTTGTACAAAATGTTGATCAATTTAAAATAGTTTCTTTCTTTTGGGTCGTTTTCCTTTTAGAGTTCTGTTTGTCTGCTTGTTTTGGATTTTCCACTACGAAAATTTGGGTAGATCTGCTATAATGCTCTGCCTCTCCCATTCATTCAGTGCTCTCTGACAAGGAAAGGAGTAGCAGTCACACACCTTTGCCTATGCAGGGCAAGNAAAAAACACTTCTCAAAGTATTCTTTTGTCATGTTTTTACACAGACAGACATACATACATGCATATATATATATACACATATATATACATATATATATATACACATATATATACATATATATATATACATACATAGTTGCCTAGGCCCCCTTGTGATACAGTAAACTAGGTTGAAGTAGAATGTCTTGATAAAGTCAACATTGCGTGTCTGAATCAGTACTACAGAAAACAACAAATGTCACTCTGCTGCTTCTGCCACTTCAGCACCACGAAGCTGCCATAAATAGCCTGCATCTTATACAGAAATGTTCTGCCAAAATATTAACTCAGAGTTGCCGTATATTTTCACCTTCAGTCATCAATACTTTTGACAATCCTTTGCTAGAACATGATTTCCATCTTAACACCTTATTAATTCCATGGCTACATCTTTTCCCATACTCCTACAGTAATTGCAGGGCTCCCACTCAAGTTTCACTGACACCAAGAAGTGGAAAACATTGTTCCCAGATGGAAAATGCTCTTTGTAGTAATGTAATCCTGTTGATAGAGTGTGCTTCTGCCTACTTCTCTGCAAAGGTTAAACTACACCAGCAAAGCCCTTTTTTTAAAGTGTTTAAAATGAGTCCACACTAGTGCTATCAACAGTATTGAAATGGTGGAGGGGAAAAGATTTACACACAAAGCCAGTAGTTCAATAGGAACAGAGGTTTCCCCTGTGAAACATAGCCTTGGTTAAGCAGCAGCTTTGACTCTGCTTCCCTTGCACAGGCAGCCTTGATGAGAAACACAAGAAGTGTTTCCTGTGGGCATTACTACAAACAGGACACCTTAACATCATTTGCTGCATGGAACAGCACATGAGGAAATGGATAATCTCAGGAGAGACAAGACTGGTGCTTTTGCACATATAGCAGCTGAACCACATGTCTAAACAGAAAGTGCACATGCATGTGTGTACATGCAGGAACCAGAGAGAGATAGAGCAACGGGGAGAAGATATCATCTCCTGAAGCATTACTGCAGTCAGACAGTGGATACTGCAGATCTTGCAGTGCTGGAATCCATCTAAACATCCCCCAGCTGCCAAAACTTCCCTCATCTGCTGCCTGGTGGAAGTGCTCCACAAGCAGAAGGGCTGCCTTCTGCACATGGCGGCTTCCTGACCTCCGTGGGTAAAGATGACTTTACCACAGCCAGCACAAACTTCCAAAGGTTATGGAGGATGTTTTCAAAAAACCCAGAATCCTAACAAACACTGGAAAACATTACTGGGCAGGGCAGTAAGCACTGAGCTGGAATAAGTGTTTCACACTAAGTGAAATAAGGCTTTGCTTCAGGAAAAATAGTGTGAATAAAAAAGTCAGAAGAAAGCAGCCATTCAGAAACTGTATTATTAGTTTTAGACATATCTTCAGAATATAATGAAACAAGTACATGGGTTCCATATCCTGCCCCTCAGTAGAGCAAATGTAAACCTTGTTGCTTCAGAAATACAAAAGCTTAGAAAAAAATTAGGACTCACTGGATGAATCAGGTATATAAGACCGAATAATTACACTCAAAAAAAAAGCATTGAAGATTCTTCTTTGAAGCATTTCATCCAGTCTTTTCATGCTTGCAAAAATTCCTAGCACTAGAAATAATCTAGGGAATAAAACTCAAGACTTAAACCTTAAAAAGTATGCTACCTAAGGAATGAATACTGTAATTATCTAAAACCTGTTATGCTGCTTAATAATGTGGGGCCTGCATGGGATCAATAGGACTAACTCACCAAGCAGACAGCAAAATCTGTACCTTAATTTCTTTTCTCACTTAAATTAAAAGGCTCACTTTCTGTAGGATTTTTAAGGTCCTTGTAATCTTCAGACTTACCCTTGAATTTTTCATTTTCTTCTGCTACTGAGCAAAGCCTTGTTTTCAAATTGGCAGCTTTGTACTGTTGCCTCAATGAATGATTGCAGCAACTTGAAGCCTGCAATGAAAACAGCAGCAGTTTAAGCACAAAGCAAAATACAAGGTAGCAAGTAAATATTTAATGTAATTTCCACTGTCATACAGTCCCTCCCTACTAAAGGTCCTTTTCCACACCCTTGGTCCCACAGTTAATGATGTATTTTCTTCTTGTTCCCCCTTCTTCAAGGAGTGCTGCTAAGGTTCAAAGTGCAACTATATCACAGTGGAAATATTTGCACTCATTTCTCAAAATGATCAAGCTCATATTAAACATATCTTCACATGCACTTATCTATTCAGCATCTATTTCTATTGTTTTCTGTTCTATTTCCCCTGTTGAAGCTGGTTAAGCTACTGGAAAAATTAGTTTAACAAGTGGAAAAGGTTGAAAGCATTTCTTTAGAGCTCATCCCTCTATTGAGCTTTAGCATCTGAGTTTTGCTGACTCAGTTTTGCTGAATGAGTGGCTAACTTGAAACTTTTCAGCCAGTGATTAGTCACAGGTAATACTTTTATACAGTTGAGTCAGCTCTCACTCACCAAAAGATTCAGAAAGTTCTGAACATTGACATCTTCTGTTCAGATTAGTCCCAATATCCCTGAGCTAGGCAGCTAAGCCCTCTGTGCAATATGGTAAGCATTTTGGACCAGAACCTAGAGCTCTACTGTAGATGTCAGCCAGAAGAAAACAAAAAAGTCTTAAATCTCACCTCAAGGTGTTTCTGAGAACACACAGACCTTTTACTAATTTAGTGATTTCTGTGTTTCCTTGTGGATAGTCAAGGGTGGGAATGAACCAGAAGAAAACTGGCCGCAACTGATGACCCTTGCTAGCTGGGGAGGGGATATAGAAGATTTCTGCTCCAACTTCCTAACTCAAAAATTTTCAGTGTTGCATCTCCATTGCTTGGAGAAGGAAGCAAGCCCATGTCTCCCTTTAACCAAGCAAATGCAAGTCTTACTGGGCAAGAGAATCCCATTGAAGCTTGTTTCTTTCTGGTTCAGTAACTGTTGAATTGACATTGCTGACATTTCCCCAGCTCACATGAGTGCTTCTGAGAACTCAGCACAAGGCCCTGAAAATTGCCTCAGAGATCATTAGGGAGCCAGCAAAGTGCCTGGTACATGGATTGATGTTTTCTGAGAACTGCTGCAAAGGAAGCAGGTGGTTGCATCTGCCAGCTGCAGTTTTTCCAGATTCTGCTTTGAAGCGAGGATGAATGTTGTTCCAATAATCGAGTATGCAGGCTGCAGAGATGTATGACTGGGATGTGTCCTAACTGGAAATGATGGGCTGCACTGCTTGTGCAGACAGTAGGTCCAATGTCAGCTGGGTTTATAGACAATCTCATCTCTTGCAGGCTCCTCTGAAGTGCAATGCAGTTAATATCGCAAATAAACTGGGATTCTGGTCGCACAGCAAGAGGAATGTGTCCAACTGGCAGAGAGAATAAATACTTCTCCAAACAGGCAGTAATCAGTTAACATTACTCTAAAACAAACATTGAGAAAGCACAGCACTTAAGCAATTAAAGGTCCAAATTTGCAAAATTAATTAGTGTTTCCCACAGCATAGCACTCTACTTATGAACAGCTCTATTGTAAATGTATGATGCTCTAATATGAAAAGAGAGCATTCTTATGTTAATTATCTAATTAACTAATCTGGGCACAATTAGCAGCTGAAACAGCACAGCATTACACTCTCTTCCTTCTTCTCTTCCGGATTCAAGATTGCCTTTAAATACGTACTTTGGAGTGGCAGGGGACCCTGGTGACAGGGCTTGCTACCATGTTGAGCAGACCTCGGTGCCAGCAGAAGTTCCAGTGAGCAGGCACTGAAACAGGACAGGCAGTAATATCTCCGGCACATAATTTAGGAGGGGTAAAGTCATCTATTTAATCTCACCCCTATAGCTAGCCAGCCCTCCAGGGACGCCATCCTTGTCCCTTCACAGAAAGTCAGCATGAAATGCTCAAGAATACATTTGTCTGTTTCTCTGTCTGTTTGGAAACCCCACACCACTTCACCAGACCCCCCTGAGAGCAGTATTTTCCAAAGGATGGATCAGTGGCTATTTCAGAGCTCTGAAAATAGAGAGTCTCTTTCATTTCTACTTTGCTGCCAGAGTAGCTATTGACTTCACTAAAGTTTACTGTGGCATGAAGACAATTAGTGAACTGCGTGTAGATCTCTGGCAAAAACTTACCAGGGAGAAGAACATTTGCTGAAAGAGTCTAAATCAGCGTCAGAGGATGGCTTAGACAATGTCTCAAAGTCCTAAATCAGATTACATCACAATGATCAGGGGCAGAAATGAAAGAATACTCATTTTAGTATTTTCAAATGTCTACATTTCTACACCTGCATCACATGGCCTTTTTATGCAAGAATTTGTGTTCGTGTTCAGTAATTAAAAAGGGCGGAAAAGGAAACATAAGCTGAGACTAACAAGTTCTATACAGAGTTGTACAAAATGTTGATCAATTTAAAATAGTTTCTTTCTTTTGGGTCGTTTTCCTTTTAGAGTTCTGTTTGTCTGCTTGTTTTGGATTTTCCACTACGAAAATTTGGGTAGATCTGCTATAATGCTCTGCCTCTCCCATTCATTCAGTGCTCTCTGACAAGGAAAGGAGTAGCAGTCACACACCTTTGCCTATGCAGGGCAAGGCTGGTTTCAAGACAGTGCTGATCTACTATTCATTATGTAATTACAAAATAATTTATGTTGGGAAGAACTGGAGTAGTTAATCTAAACCAATATCAGCAAGATCTGCTGCACTGAATCTGCTTGCTCTGGACTTGTCCTCTTGGGTTCTGAGAGTCTCCAAGGATGGAGACTCCAGCACTTCTCCAGCCAATCTGCTCCACCTTTTCCTGCTCTTCCAGTGAAAAAGATTCTTAATCGCTAACTGGAATTTTCTGTCTTCTGAGCTGTCTGTTGCCTTTTGCCTTTTCATTGTGAATCTCTCATAAGAATCTAGATTCATCTTCCCTACAGCTTCCCAAAAGGTGGCTGCTGGCAACCAGGAGACCTCACTTCAGCTCTTCCTCCTCCAGGCTAAAACAAACCAGCTGTCTTAGCTTCTCCTTCTACATCAGTTGCTCCAGCCCCCCACCACTCTAGTGGTCCCTCCCTTGGGCTCACTCTGCGTGGGTGATACCTTTCTTGTGCTGAGAAAGACAGAGCTGGACTCAGTGCCATGTGATGGGAATGGTCAGTCCTGCTGGCTGCTGACTGCACTTCTGCCTGAGCAGCTTCTCAGAGATGTGCTGGGTTTGGAAGATTGCAGCACTTTGCTGGACAGGTTCTGAGAAACCTGAGCTAATACTGAGGTGGGCCTGACCTTCACAAAGCTGGGGTGTGGTAGACCAATGCCAGATGTCCTTACTGCATCAGTTGTTATGCAGGTCTGTGCAGCTCCTCAGTCACAGCTGCAGCCACAGCCACCCACCTCCAGTCCCTGCACACAAGAGCCCAAAAAGTAGATCTAAATGGACCAGCAAAGACCTTGTCCAATGTCTGAGCACTCCAGACTGATCTCTGCCTCATCCTAGTACAGCTCACAGCATATCCCAAGTGAAAAAATCCCACAGGGAGAAAGAATAAATCATCTCAGCAGCAGCAGTGCACTGATGAAACTCCTAGCACAAGCAGCCAAAAGCTGCCTTACCTGCCCTCAGGTCTGAGAGGAGGCACTCACATTTGCCCATACTCTGATAGAAATGACCACAGCCTGAGACTATGAGCAGCCCATGTGCAGTGCAGGGGGAGGGGAAAATGGCTAAATGAGAAAAGAAAATAAAAGAGAGAGATGATTCCCAGACACAATCACTAGGTCATGTATCCTCTGGCATGTGTTGTGTAAGTCAGCTCTTATTTAAAACTCTCTCTGCTTTTAATGTTAAATTGTTCATAGAGGGTAATCCTGTGAATGATGTGCTTCTGGCACAACAGCTAAGCTAGGAAAGGACTGACCACATTATATTTTCTTGTGGAAAGAAAGGGGACTGATTCTTACAAGACCTTAAAATATCATGCTGGGCACCTATTAATAGCTTTTGTCAAAGTGAATCATCATCATCTCTTAAACAATGACTCATGAATTAGCTACACAAATAATTACATCTACTGACCTCTGTAAGCAGAAATAAGAAAAATTAAAAAAAAAACCCAAAACAACCCAACAGCAAACAAAAAAAAACTACACCAGCCATATAAAGTTCCATCATATCAATAATTAACCATAATTGACTAATAGGATGACAAAATGAGCTGCCTGCCTTTGCTGTGGGATAAATCTGGATATTTAATATATGTTACCAAATGTCACCACATTTCAATGTGTTTTATTTGAGCCTTGCATGATTTGTATAAATCTGTAAGAACCCTTCTGAAACTCTCCAGCTGCCTCAGAAGGTACCATGAGATGCTCTGGATACCTTTGCTATACTATTTCTGAAGAATGGATTTGGGGTAGTAGAGCCTTTTCTTACAAGCTGCAATGAGCTAGACACCTGCCAGTTCTCCAGTCAAATCAAAGTCAAAACCTCAGATCCCAACTCTTTCACAACACACCGGGGCTCCAATGTTCATGTTGGCCTCAAAACACCATGAGAATTATTGTCCTACCTACTCATAAGAAATTACTGTGCCAAGAATCCCATGGAATGCTTTATAATACATAGACATATATATAAAGCATTCATTTCAGGAAAATTCTCTTCTCTTTTGAGAAACAAACATTTACAAGTGCTTTAGGGGCACAGCTCCCAAATTTCAGTCACATCTACAATAATTTGCCAGACCAAATTTTCAAGCTAGAGGCACGAGAATGCAGCTGCATGACCTAGCATGGATTTTACCACTGTGCAGAGCCTTTGAGCTCCACTAAGGACACCACAGAGTCCAGTAAGGCATCTGTCTACTGACAGGAAGCCTGTTTTTTGTCTGGAAACAGCCATTTCAAAATTTCTTCTTTATCCACGCAATTATGGAAAATATGTAGAAAAACAGCACTCTGTGACTTACATTACAAATTGTTATTAAGCAACAATCTTTGAATTTTGTTATATGAGTACTAACTTTTATCATCAATCCAGAGGAAAAGTATTTGTTGTATACACATAAGAGACACTCATGGATATCCCACTATCTGGAAAAAAAAAGATACCACATGGTGTTAATCAAATATAAAATTTTCTGGTTTATTTCTTGAGTACAAGTCTTGATTACATTTTTCTGGGAAGGATCTTCATGAAATAAGTTGTGAAAGTACTGAAGTTGATCGTCTTTTGGGACCTCAAAGCAAGTGTTTCCAAATTCCATAGGTTAATGCATCCATAGGATTTGTTACAAATATTACTAGTTTGTGCCAGAAAGTTTATAATAAGATGCTGGCTGGCTACCAAACCACTAACTCTCTAGGACTGGCTTAGGGACAATTCAGTGTGCTATTTAATGAAAGAGAGTACATGGCCTATGAAAGCCTGTAAGACTCCCTTCACAACGTGGTTTACTCACTCAGTGATCTTGCTTGGCAGCTCCCTGCTCAGCGTGGAACCCCACCCAGGCCAGCTATGCTGAACCCAGACTGTCATCTGAGCCACCGACTCTCCTTTTCACCTCAGATGGTCTCAGATTGCCTTCAGACTCTCCATTTAGAAATAAAGGCAAATGGCACGCACAGACATCACCCTTTATATAGGATGGAGTGCTGATGCCCTGCTCTCATTCAGCAAGCAATTATAAAGGCTGCATTTAGTGGTAAAGCTGAACTTTTAGTAATGCTCACTGATACTTCATTTTAGGGTTTGGGTTTTTCTCTTTTTTCTGAAAGGAAGATCAATACCATACTTTCCCTTTCCATACTGTCTTTCATCCCAAAATACTTCCCAGTTTAAACATATGTTTCCAGAATTCTTTTTCAATATATTCCTGAGCCATGGGAATAACAGAAGCACTGTGGTGTAATGTGCAAAGCATCACTGCTTTTAAATTGAGGTGGGGAAGCAGTGGATATTGCCTTTACCTGGAACTACAGGGGTAATTAAAGTAACTGGAACATCAGGTTAATTAAAAATCCTCTGTGACCTACGAAGATTGTTACTGGGTCCAAATGATCAGATTCCTCTTTTAAGATTGTCCACATAAAAAAAGTTGAGTTTTTTGGATAAAAAGATAGCGGTACTTTTCACATTAAAAAAAAAAAAAAAAAGAAAAAAAAAGTGTGCAGATCCAAATGATGTGCTTCTGGACTCAAAGGAGATATCTGTGCATGATGATTCTTCATGTAAGCTAAGGATTTTATTTCTGTAGAATTCTGTTTCCTTGAACTATTGGCCCAGCTACACATCCCCCAAGTGTTCTTCTTTGATTTAAGATTACAGCTGAGTTAGTTTGAGGATTATTTTACAGCACAGGGCAAAAACTGTGTCAAGGACCCAAAGATCGCATAAGAGGCTGCTACTGATGAGTTATCATATAACTACCATAAGGAGGCTGTGCATTTTGCCTTTTCCTCCTGTACTGTCTCATCTGGCATTCCAGAGGTTTCATGGAACATTCAAAACTATTCTCTTAATTTTTCTTTGACATCTGGCACAGTGCTTATGCCAAGGACTCTGCTGAACTGAAACACATTTAAGCCTAATGAAGATTTTCTACAAATCTCAAGATTTGAGACATAAGTCAAGCATGTCGTGGACTGAAATGAGCAAAATAACTACCAAGACCTCAACATTCCTATCATTCAGCATGGTAACCTTCAGCAGCCAGAGGGGAGAAAATACAGCAGTCCACATTCAGAGTTGTCACCTGCCTCTTTTGTCTCCCCTGTTAAGTCAAATTCACTGTTATTCTTGTAGTTTAGATACTACTGAAATAACAATGACTTTAAAATACACGTTCCCCAGAGATATTAATCACTAAATCTTTTTTGTTTCTATTTTACTAACGTTTGTACAACAGATGAAGTCATCCATGGATTTGTGTTCTGCATTACTGGTGCTTATGCCATATGTTGATATTGATATTTTGGAACCAAAATGAGGCAATAAGAAAGACAGAATTTATTGCAGCTCACCTTAAAGTAGAATCTCTCAGTCCCTAACAATGCAGGGTAATACCTCTTAGGGAAGGAGAGAAACCTTGTGAATGCTGCTTGTTCATCTCCATCACTGAATGCTTCCTCCATTCTGACAGTCCTGGGAGGAGAGCAGTGTTTAGTTTATGTCATAAATAAATATGGAAGAGGAATACAGGGATTAGATAGAGTACATGGGAAAGGGTTGAAAGGCAATATCTGCTTGCACGGTGGTGATTATCTGTTTGGATTGATTTGATTAGTGCTCTTCCTTACTCCTGGGAAATGCAGAGCTGAAACATTGCAACCAGCTGAATTTGTGCAATCATGCCAGAACTGCAGGAAAGTTTGCTCTTTCTCTTCAAGGAGTTGCCCAGGCCCATCAGCTCAGGCAAGGCCACTTTAGGTATGAGTGTGAGAAGCTGGGTTGTGAGGGAGAGAAGATTTCTGTGGTTAGAACTGGCAAGAGATCAGGGTAACCATGCCTGGGAGAGACACAGGTCCTAAATACAGACATCATAAGCGAGCTCTGCTAAAGGGCTGCTGTAAACTCCCAGGAAAAAGGAATCTGCAGGATTCAGTAAACACAGCCAGCTTTGGTTTTATCCTGACAGTTTGCTGTCAGGATAGCTGGAGAGACAGCAAAACATACTGTGCTGGGCTCTTTAAATCATTTGTTTGGTTTAAAGCAGTAGAGATTCATACCCTATTCAAATATTCCTTCCTCATTGCCTTCTTAAAATCCAGCATTTTCCCTAATGGAGAGGAATAGTTTGAAAACACCTTCTGGTGTGGATCCAGCAGTCTTGTGCTTTCTCTAGCTATTTTGATAATGAGGAAACAGCAACAGGGGCAGGCCTGTGACAGCTACTGCCTCAAGTGGCGTGGTGCACACAGGTTAAAAAAGGCTGTTCCAATGACATTTTTCTTCCCACTTTTTCAGTCCTGATATCTGGTAAATCCACACCTGAGATAGATAGAAAAATTAGTGCTATAGAAACAATTCTCTGTACCACAGTGTTACAAAAATCAGTGGAATATCTGTTTTTCTTCATAATTCTTTTTCTCTTCATTTCCAATCCAAAATAAATAAAATTTTAAAGACACCCTGGAAATTAATGAAGTCTTTCTTATTCAATTCAACCTGGAAATAGTTAAATAGTTATTTATGCAATTCATCATGGCTCTGCAGGCTACCGTCACCCAAAGAACACTTTCCCTTATAGGAGAGGGGAAGTTTATATAGCTGCACTCTTGGATTACATCGATTCAGTCCTGAGGCAATACAGATGCCAATTATATGATACACATAGCATACATCTTTAAATTCTCTGTAAAACAACCTCTGAGAAATAATTGTTATTACCTTTCTAGTCAGGCACTGAAAATAAAGACAGCCAAGTTCCTTACCTGTTGATACAAAACTAAACTTTAGGTGTATCTGGTAACAACTTCATTCTTTCTGTGTATTAGTTATGGTACAGAAATCATGGATTGGTCTGTAAAACGAGTTTAATTCCTTTACTAAGAACCTGTCAGCCTACACGCCTCCATATCATATCACTTGAAGTGTTAAAGTAACTTTTCATCTCCCTCTTCTTTTTCTCTTTACTTTATAACATCTTTTGACCCTCTGGGTTTTCACTAAATTCTTTGTAATCAGTAAGTGTCAGTTACTCTTATGCAAAGAGCTAAACAAATAAAAATTATAGTTTCATTGTAAAGGAACAGGATTTTTTTTTTAAGTCCAAATAATTCTTATAAAGGCATAAAAAATTTTGTTCTTCAGATCAAAAATTTTGATTTCAGATCAAAAATCTTCTATTGATCAGATCTTCTGATCGATAGAAAACTAACCAAGACAATTTCAGTTGGTTGAAGTTTCTTTATATAATATGACTAAAGAGGTTTATCAAGCTCTGCTACCCAACTCAAGTTGACTTACCCAGTTTTAAAAAGTACCATTTTGCCTCACCTACTAATTGTGTAGACAAAACTATGACATATCCCAGTAAACCACCTTCACATTAATGACATCCTTGCCACTGTGATTGCCACCAAACTGTACCTCTCTACCTCTTCCCAAGGTAGCATCTTAGCCTCTCCTGCCAGAGGCTGCCCAGAGACTAACCAGTATTTCAGCTTTTCCACTTGATTTAGGCCACAACAAACTTTAATTAAATAATATTCTCATAGACCTGTCTCTAAACCTTTAAATCTTCCTATAATAAACATGATTGATAGCCTACAAACCTTTCTAACCTCCTGTTAGAAAAAGAAAATTAATAGAGCATTAAACCTATGTGAATGAAATTAGCAGACACCTAAGGATAAAAAAATTATGTACAGCCATATTCTCAATGCTCTCCAGTTGAAAAGGTCCACTTTGAACCTTGGAAAAATATTACTCTGAAGACCTTACTTGTCATCCTAACCTATGAGCTATACTAATGACTACCTGTGAGACAATGTTATTCTAGTGAAAATTTCTCAAACTTCCCTTCCTTGCAGCATCCCAACTTTGTTAAAGTAATCTCAGATGTAAGCCTCTACAAACCATGGAACCTGACCATGTCTGAGGAATAAATGCAGGACCTGACACCAGCAGGGATCCCACAAACACACAGCCTAGGAGGTGTGTGACCATGGAACCTTCTTTCCTCATTGAAACCACCCTTGTGAAACCAAGTCATCGCTGTTTTCCCAAAACAAACTCAAAACTAAAACAGCACAGGACAGTAACATTCAGGTACCAGCAGGAGACCATTTTTCACTCCCCAGAATATTACACCATTGGCCTCTTAATTCTGTTACTTGAGGGACACATCAACCTTCAACATGAGCCTGGAAATAAAAATCACTAGTTCTACTGACTACTAGAAAACCATGGATTCACTAGGACTAGAAGGTTTATACCACATTATAACTTTTTCCACTGCCTACCACACACTTGGTTTTGCTTTTTACCATGGACAACACTGACTGGCTATTCCAGCCCTCAACATTTCATATTAGTGATTGCTGGAACAACCTCACCTGAAAGCTACACTGACTACAAGGAGATGGACTGAGGTTTGATTTCAGCACACTTTTATGCACATGACTACCTAAAATAGAGGCAAAAGAGATTTTCACATTAGGAAAGCTTCCTGTACTATGGCTCTGAACAAAAGAATGGGCATCTCATAAAGGAAAAGATTGATAATTTTAAGCAAAGAAATTACTTCATTCAAAGCTTCATGATATTAATATTCTAGGGATTTTTATTGTGTTCAAGGTAACAGAACTAGTATAATCTTTGAAAATAAAGTAGTTTTTTTTTTCAAAGGAATACCTGACTCCATAGTGTCCTTTACCAGCAGATAATATATTGCCAAGTGTTTATGCAAAAAAGGAAGGTAACAGTAATAAAGCTGGATAAAAGGGATCACCAACATTAGTAGGCTTTCTAAAAAAAGTCCCTCCTAATGTTACACACAGGATATCTGATCTGAGAACTACTGTGGGATAAAACTCAAAGGTTAGTCCATGTTAGGCAACAGAAGAAATAACACGGAGTGACAAACACCAACATAAAAGGATGCTTTTTGGGCCCTATTCCAAAGCACTCTATTAAAAACTACATAAGCTAATTCACACTTTGAAATCTAATCATTCCCTCTGTTCTATTTCAGCCAGGATATCTGTAAGATGTCTACCCACTGTTAAACTGGTAGCCTTCTCTGAGCAAAATTGATCATTGTCATGACTACTACTTTTCCTTTATCATTCAGGGAACAAGTAATTCTTAGCTGTATTATGGTAGGTTTTCTGATTTGAATTCTATTTTCTGGTTGTCTTTGCTTTTTGTCTGCTGTCATGTCTTTTCCTGGGGATATATTTTGCCACTTGGGAAATTCTGAGAAGATAAAACACTGCGCGATTCAAAATTCTTAACAGTCCAGAGCATGTGTGTTTGCATTTGTGGAGGTTCTGTATTTATTCTCTGTCTCCCTGGAAAACCTCCTAGCTTTTTATTTCTAGCTCATCTGTGGCACTTCATTTGTAACATGCTACAGGCTTCCAAAGACAGACACAACACAAAAAGGGAGAGGGAAAATGCTGAGTTCATCACCATAAATTATTGATGTTTCTTCTACTTAACTTACTCATCAGGATTCATTGTTAATGAGGTGTGGATTTTAGTTTTAAATTTGCCATGAAACCAGATGATTTTTAAGGTTGCTTCCAACCCAAACCATTCTGTGATTCTGTGTAGCACTGCAGGCATTCAATTTGAAGCACTGCATTAAAGAGGATTTCTCCCAGTGTGTGTTTCTGGTTCCATTTTCTGCAGCAGGTCTCTGCAACTGTGACTTGGCAGGCACTGGTGGTATTTATCCAAAGCACAGAGTGCAATAGGAAACAGAAAGACAAGAGGAAGATTTTTATTATGTAACTGATAAAATGCAGAAACAGATGCTGTGTGATTGCTCTGGAATTAGTTGATTTATTTAAAGGGTTAATTGACTCATTGTATTCCTATGTGGTAAACTGGAATTCAGATGAATTGCAATGATCCAGTGTCTGGGAGCACCAGGAAATCTGCCAACATATACTACTGTTTTCATCTTCCAGTTTGCAACTAGTTTAAATTGGGGTCAGATGCTGCTGCTGCTGCTGCTCCTGAGGCTAGACTTGCAGTGCCTTTAGCAGAAACAGAAGCTGGCTTGTGGGCTGGGGTCACTACTGGGATATTCTCAGCTCAACAGCCCCTGTGAAAAATGGGAGGGAGGTGGGAGTGAGCTGGTTTGGGTTTACCCCAGAGGAAGTTTCCACCAAAGCATGCTAAAAAAATAAAATGGAATGAAAAATTGATTCGCTTTAGGGTTTTTCCAGAGGGCTTCAGAAGTGGAACCATCTGAACTGAAACCAGTGGGAGCTTTATCCACAGCTGTGAGAGGCTCAGGCACAAACCAGTGCAGGATCTTTTTGAAAACACCATTTGGCCCATTGTGTGAGGACTGGACTGAATGCCACTTCCATGGATCCACGTGTCACCTACATAACTCCTGATACAGATATCAGCCCCAGACTGCTGGGCAGGAAAAACAGCCCAAAAAATGAGAGGCTGAAGTTCAA